ACACGAATAAAACGCGTTAGAAAAACTACAAACGTGGCGGATGCGCGCGATCGACGGTTAGGTAGAGAGGCTTAAAGCCCCGTTCACACCGCCAGCGGTAACCAGTATTGAGAACGCCCACTAGCAACCTCATCGCCAGCCCCTTGCGACATGCGCTGCTAGTGTGAACGGGGCTTTATGCTGCGTTCAAGTCCTCCTGGGACGTTCGTATTTACGAGTTGACAAGTCGTAATTACGATGTCAGGTGCGTTCAAGTCAGTTTAGTCGGCACAAGATGGCGGTGTACCTTCTTTTAATAAATTAGTTAACTCTGCTTATAGAAAATGAAGACTAACCTGGTAAAAAATATTTATTTATTGTTATCCATGTTATATTTCATCTGCAAATGCAATGTGAACTTTTATAAACATTAATTTGGTCGTGAACTTTTAAATGCATCATGCATAAAATATGAGCAGAGTTCTCGGCATGAAAGACCCGCAACTGGCAGATCAACGAGCTACTTCTAGCTAATTTAAATTAAATTAAATGAGGAGGATGTTAACTGTGACAAGATGATTAACAGGCCAGTTTACATACTACACACTCAAAAGTGTGTACTTTTTCTTCACCAAAACAGTACATACTTTAAGGGCATTTTATAAGTAGGCACATTGAGATGCAGCAATACACACAACAGGAAGCGTGCAAGAGGTCAGGCCTCAGGTCAAAGGTGAGTGTCCTTAGTGCACACTAAAGCCACAACATCTCTAAGGGTGCGTCTCAAATGGAAGGCTGCATCCTACAGAGACTGCGTGCTTCCTAGTTCAGTTCTTCAGAGGCTTGTAGGCTGGAGTCCTCCTCTGCATTAAACACTAGAACGAGACGATCTACTAAATACATGTGGCTATGTCACCTATGTTTCCGCTCTATGAAAATACTAATAAAACTTAATTTTGGAAAAATACTTTGTATTACAAATCTTTATATTATTTGACTTTCTATTAATACAATACAATGAATTACAGCCATCTACAGTCTCCCAGTGGCTAACATTATTGGCAGTTTAGCGTTAAGTGAATAATTTACGCCAAAACAAAAGATAACATCTATGCTTTCATGTCCAAAAACATTACTTTTGCCTTACATTTTATAATAAATTCAGACAGGCTCAGTACTGACTTGTTTTTCGTCAGTTTTTTTTTTTTTCATGAACTGGAATGTGTACAAAGGATTTCCGTGTATGTTAACTGAATTACTGTAGATATTACATAATATGTAATATAATAAATACTAAGAGACCTCACTGGTTTAAAAAAAAAAAAAGGGTTCATATTTGGATTTATGAAAGATGCAAACTATGATGAAACTATTGATGCAAAGTCCGATTCATTTCCGCGAACCGGTTCTTTTCGGACAGATCGGCTCATTGAACCGGTTCAAAAAGCCGATTCATCGGTTCCTGACGTCATCAAGCAGTAACGTCTCTACGCATTTCTTTTCTAACAACTTATTAATGTCATCTCTGAATTGTTTGCGATAAAAAATAAATGATAAATAAAAATTATTTTCTAACAACTCAGTGCCACGTTGTATCACTGAAAAATTAAATTAAGTCATTTGTGTCAACACGTAGTGAAACATTCAAAAAAATAGTTATTTGTGTGAAAGCATATTGCTGATTATTGCCATATAATTCACTTAAGTTAATGGTGTTTGTGGTCACAGTTTAATTCGCGTATAAACTCCTTGATTTCGCTTAAGCAACTTTAAATATAATATGCATGCACAATAAATTATTGTAAAATGTATTTGCATCACTTGACAGGGTTCGATTCAGTTCGATTTGTGAACCGGCTCAACCGGTTACTTCCTGAGAACCGGCTCAAAAGAACGATTCGTTCAAGAACCTAACATCACTAGATGAAACGTCCACTGCTAAAGTCTCAAACAATGTGACATAGTTGGAAATGAGTGTGAATGTGCCAGTGAAAATGACAAACTCTAAGAAAAACATTCTCAGAGCAGTGTGTGTTTGAAGGCACTTACCATGAAAACTGTTTCAGACCGGCTTCCAAATCAACAATAACATGTCTTACTGATTTTGGCTTTTAGATAACACAATAATGACTACTACTAACTGCTAACAAGTTTATTTCTCAGCCATAAGTGCATAAAATAAAGGAAAAATAGACATTTATCAATTAATTTACATGTCACCTGCTCCAACACACAAATTGAGGGTTGAATTAAGTTGATTTAAACGCTTATTAAAAGATGAAATATTTGTTTTTGTGCATGTCACGTGACTATAAACCAACATCAGAGAATCTTAACCATGCAAATTGATCAATTTTTGAAATATGAATTTAAAATCTTCAGTTTCAAGAAATCTCCAAGTGGTTTGACAAAAAAGCTTAGAAAGCACCAACAACATATCTAATGATTTAAAACTAATTCAAGGGAATTGGGTTTTACAGAACCAAGCAGTTACTAAACGGAAAAATGAATAAACGAGCCGTTTTTCCATTTCTCGTTATTGCATTCCAAATAGGAGATGAAATGATCAAAACGTACACGGACCTTTCATGACTACTTAGTTTATTATTTTCAGTAGAAATGAGTCATAAAATAAATGGAAAAACTGGATATTTGTCAATTAATTTAATTGTTCCAACAAACAATTTAAGGCTTTGTGGATTGATTTAAAAGCAAATGATTATTTAAATCACAAAAACGTATAATATAAACAATCAAAATGAAACACTAAAAATATTAAATGTTTTATTTGTTTTTCTGCATGTCACGTGACTATTAACCAACATCAGAGAATCGTGAACATGCAAATGCATTAATAAATTATTTAAATATGAACTTAAAATCTCAGGATGACTTAATCTCAAAGTGAATGAATATTGAAAATTTAATCTCAAAGTGGTTTGACAAAAGTTTGGGAATCGCTTATTATGAAGACATGTCGGTAGACAACGGTTTTTGGCGGCTTACATAAACTTTTCAGGTTCAGTCGCTTGACAATGTGACAGGATCTAAAGAAATCTGATGACAAACATGACAGTAATTCCCAGCGCGTTTATTTGAATTTCTTTAAAAAAGTACAAACTGCTTTATCCCAAAGAGTGTGATTTCTGAAACGTCTTTATTTAAAAATCCAAAGCGTTTAATATTTCGGATACAGCACTCTGTGAGTTTGTTCATCTGCTTTATTTCTGTCCAGCCACTTTCCGCAGACGAAGATGGTTGTCACCCAGTTGGCGGTGTTGGTGATCTCCACGCACTCCAGGAACCATCCGGACGAAGTGCCTTTGTCGTCGTGCTCCACTTTGATCCTCAAGAGTTCGCCGAGATCCAGCATCTCCAGCAGAAAGCGGTCTGTCTGTCCTCTCTCGAACAGGTTCCTGTACTTCCCCTTCAACACTCGTTTCCCAGAGTCTCCGTTGACGCCGTAGAGCGTGATGAAGACGTTGGCGTCGGTGGCGGCTTCCTTCACGTCTCCGGTGATGATGATGATCTCGTATTTGACGGGAACCAGACTGCGCACTTTGCTGGCGAAGCTCTCCACGGTTTTGGTGCACTCGAACATCATGAACTCATCTTTCTTGGCCGCCAGTGGAATCCGAGCGTCGCATGTGAAGTAGAATCTGCGAGAGAGAGAATGATGCTCGGAGCTGCACACGACAGGATACATGATATTCGATTTTTGCCGATATTTTTAAAATTATTCTGGCCGCTAGCCGATGCCAATACCGATTTCCCTTTGTTTTGAAACAACGGCAAATTTCTCCTGTGTGGAAATTATAATTATAAAGCGGAGAGTTCCGGTGCTTGATTCTGATTGGTTGAGCCGCGTTCGAAGCTGTTGTAAATGACTCTACAAAGTAACATACACCTTTGTTTACGTTTGTGTGTTGCTCGGCAACCACTTTGTTGCAACCACAACTGTTTCTGAGGAGCTACATTGTTTGGTGGAAGAATACTGTTTTTATTAATATCATTACACTTTATTTGCTCTGTTTTATTTTGTGAAATCTTACTACGTATATGGAATAACCGTTTTATAAAAGCAATAACCCCCGTGAAGCCGTGGTTTACAGTGAATTTATAACAGCTTTGCGTCGTACCTAACAACACCCCTTAGCTGTTATAAACTCACTGTAAACCATGGCTTCACGAGGCTTATTGCTTTAAAGTATTTTTGGTTAGTTTTGAGCAAAGACTTATTTGTTAGAAGTAATAAACATTATTAAAGTTCTTTTTTTTAATGAGAGTACAAGCCTTGAAAATAACTGTAATCTCTGCTGTGTGTTTATTTTTCTCAGACAGATGCAGTTGAAACCTTAACATTGTATTTGTGGATTTAACATTAATAGATGGTCTAAAGCAAAAGAGCTGTAAAAATTCAAAAAAGTACTAAATTATAATGTATGATAACTAGATAAGTGCATATTGCGTAAAAAAAAGAAAATCTTAGATTCGCTTTTGGTGGATTTTGTACTGTATTTATTACTAATGATGTTTAAATTTAATATTAATATATGCATATTAATAAATAAATCTGTATATATCAAATTATTTATTTTACAAGTGTTATGTTTGTGATTTTTATTCATGCAAGCTATAGTTCTGACCTTTAAATCAAAACAGACTCGTGATATTATGACATCGATATTGCTTCTATTTATTCAGAAACACAAGTATCTTAATGATATTTGTGTATTTTACTTTCATTTTATTACAAGTAGGCCAACAGCGCCCCCTAAGTAAATAAAACGCATTTGAAGATGCGCTAGAAACTGTTGACTCTCTCGCGCACCGGATGCATCGTTCTGGATGTACATTCTCAAATTAAATGCGGCGATCCAAAACAGTGAATCTAATCATAATTCAGGAAAATATTGCTTCAAGAATGACCACACTGCTGATGTAATCTCATCACTTTCACATGCTGAGCACATGTGAGTTATCCATATTATCGGCAAGGCATATCGGCATAATCTTTTACATTTTGAACCTTTATCGGCCGATTCCGATAACGTTCTGATAATATCGTGCATCACTAATTTCAGATGTAAACTCACTTGTTTCTCAGCTCTTTCTCCGTGATCACCACCTCCTGCACGTGCCAGAAAGACTCGTTCTTCACCTTCTTCTCCTTCGTTATATGGCCCAAACAAATACCCACGATCTCGCCCACATTTTTAGAGGAAAACTCGAATGAATCCGTGGCACCTCTGAAACAGAATCAGATTATGATGTGTTATTAGTCATCTGTTCAGTCTCTATTGTTTAATGGTCATTTATTTTTGACGTTTGTCACTCCAAAAATGTGTTTTCTTTAATTATTGGACATTTGGACAGGTCTAAATGATAATCTGAATTATTTAAGTTTCATTGATATACAATTATAGTGTTTATTAATATTTTGAATGTTTTTATTTTTATAATTTTCATTTACTTTTTAATTTTAGTTAACATTGTTTTTATAAAATGACAATTTTTGTCATTTTTATTAGATATTTTTATTAGTAGTAGTTATTTTAAAATATTTTTTTAGCTATTTGCAGTATTTCAGTTTTAGTTATTTTAGTACATCAAGTTAAACTAAACAAAAATGAAAAACAAAAGTTAAAGTTTTTAAATATTTGAATATTTTTATATTTTCCATTATATTTTCCATTTTCTTTTTCAATTTAGTCAACGTTTTAGTATTTTTTGCTTTTGTAATTTTTTTTTGTTTTTATTTTTAGTAGTTATTTTTATATTTTATGTTTTAAAATATGTAAACTTTTCCATTTTAGTCAACCATTTAGTATTTTTTGTTTTTGTAATTTATTTTATTTTTTATTTTTAGTAGTTATTTTTTATATTTTATGTTTTAAAAATATGTAAGCGTTTAAATTTTAGTTAACGTTTTAGGATTATTTGTGATTATTAGTTATTTTTATTATTAGTAGTTATTTTAAAATTGTTTTTATTTTAGTTATTAATACGTCTATATAGTTTTTAGCTATTTACTGTATATTTCAGTTTTAGTTATTTTAGTACATCAAGTTAAGTTAAACGAAAATTAAAAACAAAAACAAAAGTTTAAGTTTTTAAATATTTGATTATTTTTATATTTTCCATTTTCTTTTTCAATTTAGTCAACGTTTTAGTATTTTTTGCTTTTGTAATTTTTTTGTGTTTTTATTTTTAGTAGTTATTTTTATATTTTATGTTTTAAAAATATGTAAACTTTTCAATTTTAGTTAACGTTTTAGGATTATTTTTGATTATTAGTAGTTATTTTAAAATTATTTTATTTTATTTATGAATATGTCTATATAGTTTTTAGCTATTTACTGTATATTTCAGTTTTAGTTATTTTAGTACATCAAGTTAAACTAAACTAAAATGAAAAACTAAAACAAAAGTTTAAGGACCAGTTTTACTAACAGCTTGCGCTAGCGCAAACCGTCTTTTGGCGTTAAAATTGTACTGTCAGGTTTACTAAAGAAGCGCAGTGAAGATTTAGCGCTGAAAAGGCGTGGAAACGCACAGTTATTTTTCAGGGCTTAAAGTTCTCCGGCGTGCAGCGTTTGGCTGCGGAAAAAAATAATTCTACATTTAAAAAAGAAAAAGTTGATATCACTTTCGAGTCCATGAGTTCGCCACCAATGGTATGAGAGGAGCACAGCTTTCACTCTCAACCAAACTAACATTACTAGCCAATCAGAATGTTTTTTATAAACACACACGAGACACGTATAATAGTATCCAATTGCAGAGTCGCAGCTCTGACGAATGGAGAAGCGCGACAAAAAGCTGCGAGGCGCAATGGTCAAATATGTCCATCTAGCGCATATTTACATAGAAAAACTAATTAAAAAGCAGCGGAGCTTTGTAAACAGCTCAGAGTAATCATGTCATCTCCATAAGAACGATAGGATTGCCAGAACAAATTTACCATGATTTTTGAAAAGGTCCTGTTCACACATGATCTCTTAATGGTAACTTACCGGTGATTTACCATGTGAAAGTAAACTCTTCCTCTGCATATGCCGTGAATTTGAATTGCTTAACATTCATCTGGGAAAACTATGTGCATTAAGGAGCCAAGTGTGACTTTTTTTTTTGTCCCTTTAACATATCCGAATCATGTCCATGATTTTTTTTGTGTGTTCACATAGCTAATGCAACAAAAGTCACCAAGTGTCATCTCATTCTGATAAAGCTATGATTTTTAAAATGCCAAAATATAAAAGTTTTCGGTAAAAAATTAAATTTGCTTCAAGAAAAAAAAGACGACTTGGAACCCTCAACTAGGAGTCACACAATACCAGCTCTATCAAAACTTCTAGCAAACCTTCATTTTTTGGCCTCCGGTTCTTTTCAATGTACTGTGGCTTCTTTATTTCTTTATTTGCGACTATGCGAATTTGTGCTGCGCTTGGTATATTGCAGTTTTCCCCCTGCCATTATATTAGGAGGGCGGCCCGCCCCCCTTGAAGGTCAAGTTAATTTTATTTAATTATATTTTCTCTATAGCGCCAGATCACAACAGAAGTCATTTAAAGTTACCTTTTCGATAGAACGGGTCTATACCTTGTTCTGTTATTAAACAAACTAAACAGCCTTATGTTATTTATCTTATTTACACGACGGCATGTCATTTCGGTCTCTACGTTATGCACGCTCTCTGTATCACGCACAGCAGAGTTACGCCCCGATGCGCACGCACGCACCACACACACACACACAACACACACACACACAC